GCCGCACACTGGCTTTCCTCCAGCTCCGCTTTCAACCTCAGGGGTGTCGTGCGGAGGTTTTACGACTTTTGTGCCCCAGCCCCTTCCCTCCAACGGCTGCCAGATATGGGTCCCGTCTGCCCGGTGGCTACCGCGGAGCTGACAGGGCGGGGAAGTCGGGCCGGGGCCAGGGGAGGGGGCGAGGGGACCCCGCGCGGGCTGGACGGCTCGGGCTGCGCCTGGGCTCCTGTGGCCGAGCGGCCTGCGCGCCATGTGGTAGCAATTTAGCGGCCGGGAATTTCCTCTCCAGGCCTGCCAGCGTGGGGGAAGCCTGCGCGCTGACATAATGACTTCAACATGGGCGCCCTGCACCCGGAGCCCCCTGCCCGGGCCGCCCCGCGGGGCCGTTCTCCGGGCGCTCAAGGGACCCCGGCGTCCGGGCGCACGGCCGCCCCCGCGCGCGCCCCGGCCAGCGCGGCGCTGGCGACTCCCCCGGGCGGCGCCGGCCCGGGCGGGGGGCGCGATGTCACCGCGGGCGGGGGGGCGGCGGGCGGCGGGAGGCGGGGGAGGTATTTTCCAGCTTTAAAAAGGCAGGAGCAGCGCGCGGCCCTGCGTCAGAGCGGGACTTGGAGACTCCGCAAACTCGCGGGCAGGGTCCGAGCGCAGGGCACCGCCGGCGGGGAGTTTGGCCCGCCTCAGCTCCCGTCGCCCAGGGGGCCAGGGGTCGCAGCCGCCCGGCCGCGCGCCCCCCATGACAGACTCGCGGGGGTCGCGGCGCTGAGCCTGGCCCGCCAGCGCTTCTTTCGGGGCCACGCGCGCGACTTTGCGCCGGGAGGACGCGCCCCCCCAGGCGGGCACAGCCGGCGGGGAGGCCGCAGGGCGCGGGGCCGCTCCTCCTCCGGCTCCTCGCCGCCGCCGCGTGGATGCCAAGTTCGAGTTTTCCGGTCCCTTCCAAGTTTCCACTCAGCCCTCCGGCTGCAGCCCGCGGGAGCGGACACCTCGCGCGCCCCGCGCAGCCCGCCGCTGGCACCATGAAGTCCGCGGAGGAAGGTAACTGGCGCGGCCGCCCTCCGCCAGACCTGCGCGCCCCCAGCCCCGGGGCCAGCCAGTCGCCGCGCGACGCCAGGGGTCCCGCCTGGGCGCGAGCGTGGGGTGGGGGGCGCGGGGCGCGACCGCGGGAACTGGGAAGCGGGTCCGCCGGAGTCCTCGCGGCCGCTCCGGGTTTGAGTTCGACTTCTTGCCAATAGGTGTCTCCTCTTCGCTAGGAGCGCGAAGGAGGCCGGGGCTTGAGGAGCGCGCGGCGGTCGGTCCGCGCAGTAGGAAGCGGGTTCTGAGCTGCAGATGCGCGACGAGCAAGGGTGGGGCTCTGGGTGCAGTGTGGTTTCTGGGGAGGGGGGTCACGCCGCCAGAATTTGGGTAGGTGGGCTCCTCCCCGGGGGCTTCGTTCAGGCGTCCTGTAAGCCTGAGCTCTGTGAAGTGAATAGTTTGCTGAGAGACAGGCGTCTGCCACTGGTCTGAGGACAGGAGCAAAGGCGACCAGAAGGCCCCTAGAGTAAAACCATCTTTCAGCCTTGAAGGCACCAGCGTCTTCACCAGAGTGGCTCGCTGTGACTGTCAACTTCCAAGCTGCTTTTTTGAAATGGGAGAACTTTTTTGGCCTTTCAATCCTAAAGTCTGCTCTACCCTCCTGGTGAGGGCTGGTGACTAATGAGAGCAAAGAGGGTGCCTGCCTGGAAGCCTCTCTCTGCCAGCTCGCCACCAGCCCCAGAGGCTGTCAGTTCGGAGAGATGGGGGCTGCAGGTGCCACCAAGATTGGCACCTCATCCATGGCCTTACATGGCAGACGCAGGGCGGACACTGGAGGCTCTCCTGCAGGTTTCCAGCTGCTTGAGTGTCTGGGGCAAAGCACTTGGGCAGGCTCGCAAACCTCTCCAGCTGGGACACAGCAGCCCTCGAGTGCCCATGAGGACGCAAAGCTGATGGCAAGCACTGAAAGTGAGGGCCACTGTCCCCCGACTGTTCCAGCTTGCAGGAGGGCCTCCACACTTTGCCATCCGTCCAACGGTCTTGTCTTAAGAAAGACAGAGCCGGCGTTGCCACCCGGAGGCCTCTGCGCCTGGCCAGACACCCTGGGCCCAGCAGTGGTCCGTGCACTTCACACAGGATAGCAGGCAGTGCCTGGGCCTCTTGCCACTGCCCCCATTTTCAAAGGTCCATACAATGAACGCCACACGGCATTCACAGGATGGGCTCTGGTGAGGACAGTTGCATAGTTTCTTCTTGTTTTGACTTTACCTCCTTGGACTCTTTATTCAGAGCTTTACTGATCACTGCTTAAAGAATGGATCATGGCATGGTTTCAAAGGGGCTCTGGCGGTGGGTGCGGTGAGTTAAGAATCAGGCCGCCCCGAGGGAGAGCGGCGCAGCCTGCCTCTATGAAGACTGTCAGCTTCCTCAGTCCGGGGCCATGTCTGCTCCCACGAGCCACCAGAGTGGGGCTGCAGGTGGGAGTGGGTGGTATCCAGTTCCCAAGTTTAGCTGTCTCTCTGCTCCATCAGCACCCCACCCTGTCTTAAGGAACCCTTTTCTCCACAATACAGTCGGGGGAGTAAGTGGGGGTGTCTATGGGGATAGTGGTTGTTTTTTCATGTAAACCCCCCCACCCAGGTAGATTTTGCCCTTGGAAAACACAGATGTGGACATGTTCTGTACTGGTTATACTGAGTGGAGGCCCCCTCTTCAGGCTCCCTGCAAGCAAGCCGGGGACCCCCTCGCCGGAGCTCCCAGCATCTGGGGTGCCACCGGTGATGTCTGCACTTGTTTTGCCGGGTGGAGCGGCCTGGGAGGCACCCGCTCTGAGGTTGCTCCACACAGAATGGCCTGAGGGTGGCCAAAATGGCTGTGAACAAAGCCAGTCCTGTTTCCCTCTATCCTCCACCACACTCTTCCCTAATCCAGACTAGAACCCACAGAGGTGCTGGCACCCGTCTCTATCATACCAAGCCCCTCCACTCAGCACCCCAGCACTCTGTGGGAGGAACCAGCCAAGCCAAACATTCCCACCAGTCGGTGGCGGCAAGCCAGTGGGACGTGTGGAGGTCCGTGCCTGCAGAAAGGTGTAAAGCCACCGTTCAGTGAATGCCTCCATCTCAGCAGGCACCCAGGCCAAGCCGGCAGAGAAATGCCTCGAGCTGGCGCGCACAGCCGGGCAGGGGTGCGAGGGGAGGTGGTGCGGTGTCCCTGCCCGCCCGCCCAGGCTGAGCTTCCATTTGCCTGAAGGCCAGCAAAAAGCAAACTCAAACAAAACACCCTCCAACATACATCTCAAACTATTATTAGAAACAAAATCAGGCCAAAGCGAACTGTAGTTTATCACCAGAGGGAACCAGTCGTTTGACAAGGGTCACGGAGAGAGGACTTGGGGAGGCAGCGGGTGATTGACGGGCTATCCGTTTCTGGAAGAAGCAGAACCTGCAAGTGCAGAAGGCAGCGGAAAGGAGGCCGAGGCTGACGTGAGACCTCCACTTCTCACTGGGTCGCCTCCACCACCAATCTTCATGTCCAGCTACGGGGCCCTGTGGGACCAGGAGCCTGGGGGAAGCAAAGGCAGACTGCTGGGGGACAAGGGGCAGCAAAGGTTCAGGGCTAGCTGGGCCCAGGGACCGGCCACCTGTCTGGCCTGCAAACCCCAGAGGATGCCGGCAGGTTGCATGTGGGTCTGTGTGGGACAGTGTCCCACAAGCAGGCGAACTGCTGCGGCAGAGCCAGACTGCTGTAGACCAGGCCTGCGAGTGCAAGTGACCAGCAGGGCCACCCTGAACAGGCCTAACTTGAGTTAGGCCTCCCTGCCATGTCTTCATCTAGGGGGCTCGAGAGGGCTTCCTGGACCGTTCGCTGGAAAGCACAGGTCCCTTGGAAAGCAGTGTGCTTGCTTTCTGCTGAAATGCAGCTCCTGGGTTTGCCTGCAGGCTGATCCCAGGACAGGGCCCCCGGTTTTCATACTTCACTTTGACACCCTGCCTGGGTGCAGTGATGGCCGGGGCTCAGGTCCCCTGGGCATGAGTCTGCAGGTCTGAAGGCCAGCCGCGAGGACCAGGGCGTTGGGGTGAGCGGCCACCTCCCGCCTGGCTGCTCCTCCTGGCCGGGGACTTAGCACAGCGTCGGAGCTGCACGCCGGCTGCGGTGGCCGCGCGGGTTGCGGGCGGGCCCTGCGAGAGGCCGCGGGGAGTTGGGAGAAAATTCAGAAACGGGCGGCGGCGCGTGTTTATACAACCCGGAAACGCGAGGGGGGGACGCTCGGGCCGGGGACAGGGGCGGGGCAGGGGGACCGGGGCGGGGACAGGGACGGCCCCGGAGTCACGTTACGCCCCAGCGGCCGAGCGACCCGACCACAGGTGCCCAGCCGGCCCGACATGACGGGCCTGGGGCCGGACCAGGAGTTCGACTTCGACTTTCTTTTTGAGTTCGACCAGGGCGACGACTGCGCCCCCGGAGGTGGGCTGGGCACGGGGACGGGGAGGGGCGCGGGGACCTGAGGGAGGGGACCCGGGAGTGGGGACTCGGGGGCGTCCGGCGCCGAGCAGCAGCGTCCCGCGGCAGGGTCCCAGTCCGGGTGGGCCCAGAGCCCTGGTTCCGGATCAGGCGCACCCGGGAGGCGAGGCCCGGCCCGGAGGCGGAGGGCGGCTCAAGGGGACAAGAGCGTCCGGGACACGGGGCTCGGAAACTGTGACCGGGCACAGATGGTCTGCGCTGTTGGCAGCCAAGCTCTGCGCGGGGACCGCAGCTCCTGCCCCTGCGCCCGCCGGCCCGTCCCTGGGGCTGAACCACCGGCGGCGGCGCGCAGTTGTAACCCGAGAGCGAGCGCGCTGGCGCCCCTGGAAGGCAGTGTCGCCCCGCCCGCGCCCTCCGCAGCCGGGTCACCCGCCGGCGCTCAAGTTTGCGCCCAGTGACTGCGGCGAGGGCGGCGGCACGCTTTCATTTTCTGTCTCCGCCCAGGACTCGGCAGACGCGGGGGGTGGGGGGTGGGGGCACAGCGGGACCGCTGCGCATGGAGTGACAGCGCCCGCCGGCAGGTCTCTCCCAGCCCGCCGGCCTGGACTAAGCGCCCCCGCCTGTCCTTCCCCTCCAGGACTCAGCAGCTAGGTGGAGGGGGAGGTGGGTGGGTACACTCGACGACCTCCTCAGGAGGCCTGGCAAACTTTTAATACAGTTATTCAAGAGTGCCTCCCTGCTGGCCTGGACTCTGGCCTCTCCTGTTGCCCCATGAGGTCTCGGGGAGCCCACTGGCCTAGGGTCTGGCCCTGAGTTTCCAGCTCAGACTTCCCTCTGCACACCCTTGCTCTTGGTTCTGGGCAGCGATTTTCTTCAGAATGAGCCCCAGAGCTCATTTCACAAGCCAGCCATCCCCTCACAGTGTCCCTGTGAGACAGGACGCTGCCCCCAGAGGATTGAAGACTGCCACAGCATCCCGCTGGTGGGCCCCACGGTCATAAACTGCTTAACCCTCCACACAGGGCAGCAGGAGGGAGACCACAGAGCCACTCTGACCTTGGTCCTTGCAGCAACCCCAAGGACCATAGCTCAGCAGAGAGGCATCTCACAGAGAGGGGGTGACTCTCCCAGTTACTGCTGGTCATGCAGCACCAGTACCTGCAACCAGTTCTGCACAGGCAAGCCCCAGCCAGGAGTCCCTGCATCTGGGCTCTGCAGCCAGCAGGCCACACAGTGCTTACTCTGGACATCTCCTGATAGGAGGTCAGCACTCAGCGTGTCCCAAAGGGCCTGGTTTCAAAGGGGCCCCAGGTGATGAGACTGCTCAGCCCCCAGTGCTCTCAGGGCCCAGGGTCCCTGTGCCCTGCTGGGGACCATCCCTGTGGTCTGTGCTGCTGTCTTGGGCACGGAGGAACCAGGAGCACCGGGCATGACGTGGAGTGCCCCTGAGCCCCAGAGCCGGAGGCCTGCAGTGAAGCCATGCCTGTCTTCAGGCTTGGTTTAAGCCTTACTGAGCCCCCACCCAGCCCACCAGTGAACCCTCCTGGGGCTCAGCTTGGGCTCCCCCTGACCACCCCCAAGGGAGAGAGCTCAGGCAGGACCTTTCAACGAGGGAGGGGTGCCCCCACCCCCTTGAGTGGCATCAGAAAACAGTTGCTTGAAAGTACTCCTTTGCCTTCTCTGTTTCTTGTAGAGACATGCTCACTTCTGCTTTGTGTGACACCGCGGTGTGTGCTGCACTCTGACCTGAGACACCAACCCCCGTCCTTTGGGCCCAGAGAAGTGGGGTCTGTGTGTCAGTGAGTGAACAGGAGCTGAGAGCCAGGGGCACTGTGTCCGGAAGTGGCTGCTCCTCCAGCTGCTGGCAGTCACTGCAGCTGAGCTGGCTGGTCCCAGGCAGCCCGGAGCATCCGGGTGGCCAGTGGGTGTGCAGGAACCGTGTCCAGCCCTGGGTGGCCTGTTTGTGGCCCCTCCTGCTTTTGTTTGGCTTTTGTCATGTCCAGACGCGAGTGTCTCCCTGGGCCCCCAAAGAGAGAGGGACTCATCTTTACCGGCAGTAAATGCTGGGTGTGCTTGGTGCTGACCTACAACGACCCCGTACAACAGAACAGAACACCCCGTCCTGCGCCATCCTCACAATTGCTCTGCTGCTTGAACTCATTGTTGCATACACTATGCTGGGGGGCTTCCTCTGTTTCACCAGCCCTCCGCTTAACTAAGCAAGTCCAAGTAAACCCACCCTGGGACTTACAGAGACCCCACGGGACTGAGCGGAACTGCACCCCAGGCTTTCCGAGATGGTCAGTCTTGACGGAAGCAGAAAGCCTCATCTTTCTCCCAAGAAGTGACTTGTGTATTTGAACTGTTGGCTTAACTTCCAGTTAGTGGTATAACCTGTAAGTACTAGTCTAAGTAGTGGATATTGAACGTTGATTGATTGGGCAAGAATAAAAAGATTTTTAAAAATTGCCTTGGACAGGGAAGGGGCAATATCTTCTGCAGATAAAGGGGGCCATGGAGGGTGGGGGGAGGCAAAGGAGGGTGATGACTCCTCCCTTTCAGGGAACCCCCGCCCAGGACTGCTAGCAGGCCCCCGACCATTTGGAGGAGCTCGCTTTCTTTGGGGGTCCCTCAACTCCCTGCCACCTGATCTCCCTGGTGGTCCCCCTGCTCCCCATCAGATGGTCTCCTCCCCTGGGCCCCCATCACTCCCTGCTCCCCAACATTTCTCTGCCTGGTTGGGGGACGGTGGGCACTGGTTCACTGTCAGGTGGTGGGTGTGGCTCTGCTTGCTGCCTGCGGGCACTTGTTTTCCAAGTTATTTTGGCCCGGCTTGAGCTGCCAGCATTGTCGCCCTGGCAACTCAGCAGGGGCGCCTGGGGGCGGGGGGTTCTTGGCAGTGGTCTGGACTACCTCCAGTGGAGACACCTGGGGTGGTGAGGGTGGTGACGGTCGGGCAGGGTTTATTCTCAGCAGTCCTGGGTCGTGGGGGCTGGCCTCAGCCAGGAAGGAGCTGGCAGGGACTGACTGGCAGCTGCCTTCACCCAGGAAGTACATGGCAGCTGCTCCGGGTCCCCTGTCCCATCCCGGGGGTAGCTAGCCCTGGTGCTTGGGTCCTCTGCCCCATCCCCTGGGTGGTTGGACCCCTGACCCAGTTCTGGGGTAGCCGGCCCTGGCAAGTTGGCTAACAGGGCAGTGTGGGTGCTGAGCTGAGGCCAGGCTCCCCGTGCTGTCCTTCAGGCCATCTGCCCAGGCCACCGGGCGCTCCTCGGGCAGCTAAGTGACCAGCAACCAGCTGCTCGGTTGGGGCTTTGGGAGCTGTTGTTTAGTTTCCAATACGTGCAAGGCGATCTTCCTGCCGTATCTACCACCTTCTGCAAAGAGCACAGGGTCTGAGGCTTGTGGCCAAGCTGGCCTGTGACCCTCACACTGCTGCTGTCAGTTTAGGGGGGGAGAGAAAGGATGGGGGTTCTGCTCCCTGGGAACCCCCGGCACCGGGCCTCACATGGGACACATCGGGCCTCTGCTGGTAGATGTTGGGGGCTGCGGGTAGAGGCAGACTGCATGGGGACCCGGCTAAGGGCGGTACCCTGTGACATGTGGAGGTAGTCTTTGTGGGGAAGGAGCCCCCGCAGCCTGCCATCCTGCTGATAAGTGTCCCCAGGACCTGCTCCCTGTTGGTCAGGGGTCCACACACATGCGTTTGCATGCAACAAGCCACTCCTGGGGGAGGCAGCTTGCTGGCAGCCTTGAATGTGGAATTTGCTGAGACAAGGGCAGCTAGGGCCACCTGCGGGCATCTCCAGAGGGCCCACAGGCCCCGACCACCGGGTAGGGACGATGCAGAGGGTGGCTGGGTGGCACCGGGATCTGGGAATCCACAGTCAGAACAATGTGAGCCGTGTTCTACAGGGCCGGCTGGGTGGGGGCCACATTTCACTGTCCTAGGTCATTTTGAATATGCCCCATAGCATTTGCTTACAAGACCCAGTTTCTTTGGCCTGGGCTGCCCTGCAGTGTATCGAACCTGCTCTGGCCAGTGGCCAGGCTCCTGTGACCCAAGCCAGGGCAGCCTTAGTGGGGGCAAGCTTTGCTCAACTTAAGTCTCCTTGACTCTCAGGTTCTGCCTATGAGCCTGGGCAGTTTCCTGACAGGGAAGCCCTTCTCAGCCATTCCACATGATTTGAATATGGTTCTGAAGGGCAGTAAAACCAAATGGCGGCCGGTGCTAGGATGGGGAGGGCAGAAGAGTACCCCCACCCCAACCAACAGCAGAGTGGCAGCCGGTCAGGGTTGGGGGGATGACCACCAGCAGGTGGGAGGGCTCAGCCCTGTAGCTGAAGCATCCCCCCCACTGGCTGGGCCCTGCCTTTGTCATTTGTTTAATTAAGGAGAAGTCCCAGCTGAGTGAGATTTTCATAAAGGTGGCTCGATCGTTCTCTTCCCTCGCTGAGCCAAGGTCCAGGGAGACTAGCAGGCAAAGTGGTGGCTCCCAGAGCAGCAGCCGACTTCTGCTGCCGCCCAACCAGAGGGTCTCCCCTGGCGGGGTGTGGGGGTGTCCCTTGGTCCAGGGATTTTTCTCCCCTGAGCCTGTCTTTCCTGGGACCTGCCCAGATGGCATCTGTTCAAAATGCTTCAAATTAGCCACCCCCCAGGTCTTCGGAGCCAGGGTCCCTGGCCTCCCTCGGTGGCAGGTACAGGCCGAGTCCCTGGCGCCTCTCAGAGTTCTCACCCGGCTCCCAACGGCAGTTCTAGGTGTGAGCAGCCACCTCCTGCCAGGAGTGACAGCCCACCAGACCTATAAGCTGGGAAACACTGGGTCTGTGAGTCAGGGACCCCCGGGCCACCCTTAGGGTCCTGCAAGCCCTAGGGAAGTGGTGGGCCTGGCAGGGCCTCGCCTGGAGGCACCGGGATTCGGGAAGGTGGACTCCGCCCTGTCAAGTTTCCATCTGATTCCCAGGTTGGGTTTCCACCATCTTCAGCCCTGTAGCTGTTGCTGTTGTCTGCTGCCCACAGCGACCCTGTTTACACACGAGAGCTAAGCACCGCCTGGGCCCGTGCCACCCTCACCACCGCTCCTGTGCTTGAGCCCCCGTGGAGGGCTCCCTGTGGATCGCTGCCCTTCTCCAGGGCTGGTCTCTCCCGACCACACGTCCAGAGTGCATGAGACCACGTCTCACATCCTGGCCTCTGAGGACCATTCTGACTGTACTTCTTCCGAGACGGATCTGTGGGTCCTTTGAATACTCTTCATAGCACGGATTGATTCTCCTTCAGTCTTCCCTGTCTCCATCCTTAGGGGTCGGAATTCTCAAGTCCAGAGGGAGACGAGGCCAATGGGGAGGAACTCCAGCTCCAACTCATGTGGCATCAGAGATTGTAGCCAGGACACCTCTCTCACTCATGAGTGTTTAGTTTATTGATCTCTGCAGAGCTCCCCTCCCCTGCCGCCACCCTCACCCCCTCTGGTCTGTGGCCTGGCTCTCCAGGAGAAAGCAGGGGGTTCCTAGCCCCCCATTCTCTCTTGGAAAGATAGCCTTGCTTTGGGCGGTTTGACAGATTTTATTTCAAAGTAGTTTTAGATTTATAGAAAAACTGTACAGCGTCTCCTTCGCCCTGTGGAGGTGCCGGCACGAACGCAGAGCCCTCACGTCACCTCTGGCTTCCTTCCCTGTCTCCAGCCCTGTCTGACACACGCACAAGGATGCCATGTGACCGCCCTCATGGGTGTCACCACCCCTAAATGCCCGGTGGGCGTGGCTCCCCTTCCCCCCAACAAGGCCTGATCCTACTGCCCAAGTCGTGCTGCCCTTCCGGGATATGGTAGTTTATTCCCTGGTGCTTTTTAAAATTCAAAAGTCCTGGATGGGTTGGTTTGGGCGTGTCGGGAGAAACCCCTGGCTATTTGCAGTGTATGAACATGTGTGTGGTTAGAGAGAGAAACAATTGCCAAGGCCTATCCTTTAAAGAAAGAGTGATGATGAATTACAAACCACAAAAGTGAAACAGTGACAAATGGTGAGGAAAAGGCTTCCCTCAGGAGCTTTGAGAACAGGGCCAGGGGTGTGGGTCCTGACTCCCCCTGCTGTATTGCCATCTCCCACCTCCCGCTGCTCCTGGCAGGCAGACCCCAACAGGAGTTTGAGATGATGCTGAAAATGCACCCCCAGTCACACATCCTTTGCAATGCCAGGGTCCCTCAGGATCGCCTGCCACCCATCCGCCTGGTCATTCCTTCCTGGGGGCAGGACAGACTTTTCTCTGCCAGCCCCAGGTGTGATTCTTACATGTGTGCCCCCCAGGTAGAGCTCCCCAGGTGTGGCCACCAAGTGTGGGTCAGGGTGGGTACAGTGGTGGCTGCTTTCACCGAGCCAAAAGAGAACGTGTTGAGAGACTTATAGGCCCACCACCAGGGGTGAATGCTGGGGGCTGAAGGGTGGTGCCTGACTCTGGGCTCTTTTTGGGGGGTGCTGCCACCTCAGAGCAGAAGGGGCCTTGCTCTTGAGTGAAACACACTCAGAGACCCTAGGGTTTCTGTCGGACATCCGGAAGGTGATGAGGGTCATCACTGTTCAACCCCCCCAAGCCTGGCCACCCTGCGGAATCTCACCCCCAGTGGCCCCACCACTGCCGAATGTCCAGGCTGCCAGTCCTTATGGAAGCTGATGGCCCCTGCTTTCCCACAGAGCGGCCGGTGGGGTCAAACCAGACTGCGTGGTCAGTCCAGTGCTTTACCTGCTGCTCCTCTCCAAGCTGGGCCGAGGAGTGCGCCTTCCTGCTGGTACTTTGGAGGGCCTTTCCTGGGCTCGACATTGTGGGCAGTGCCCCTCCGTCTCCGTGAGCTGGAGCCAAGGCTGCCCCCGGGTTCCAGAACCTGTGTTTTTACTGCGGGGCGTCTGTGGGCTCATTGCGCCTCGGCAGTGGTCATGTGACGGTCTCCTACGAGGTTCAGGGCTCTGAGCCCGCTGGTCTGTTCTCTCTGTGAGCCTGCTTCGCAGGGACAGACCTGGGCACCGGGAGGGGCATGGCAGATGGGAGCCTGCATCCCCACAGATGCCACCAGGTAAGAGACATTAGGACGTATCCTCTGCTCCTGGCTCCTGCTCAGGACAGACCTGAAGCTGGTGCTGGGTGGGGATGGGGTCATGGCAGGTGCTGGGGTGGGCGTGGGAGACCAGCCGTGTGACAGGTGCTAAAGCAGGGACAGGGTCGTGGTGGTGTTGAGAGAAGACTTCTCCAGGTGGTGGCAGTTTGCAGAGTTGGGACACGAGGGTGTGGAAGTTCAGGGCAGGGCAGTGGAAGATCATCTCCCGAGGCTGCTCTCATTGACAGTGGTCAATGGTACTGTGGCGGGTATGATCGGGCCATGGTGCCTCCCTGAAACGGGCAGGGCCTGGACGCAGTGGGTAGAGCCTTGTGGTGGCGGGCGACACCAGGCAGCTGTGGGCCACTCCTCACACAGTTCTTCTTCCTTCCAGAACACTACAGCTATGCACCCTCTGGTCTCAGCTCCAGCCTGTCGCTCAGCTCGGCGCACCCAGTGCTGCCCACCCCCTGCCACGAGCTGCAGACACCCAATCCCGTCATCTCCGTCCTCCCATCGGCGGGCCACCCCTCGGGGTACGGCAGCGCGGGGGACAGTGCGCCCGCCAGCTACTTCCTGCCCACAGGTGGCGCCCGGCCCAACGGCGCCCCGACACTGGAGAGCCCCCGGATCGAGATCACCTCCTACCTGGGCCTGCACCATGGTGGCAGCCCCTTCTTCCACGAGGTGGAGGTGGATGAGGCTGGGCCTGGAGCCAGGCGGGCCCCCGCCACGGCCACCCTGCCCCTGCCTGGCCTCGAGGCCTACCGGGACCCCAGCTGCCTGAGCCCAGCCAGCAGCTTGTCATCACGCAGCTGCAACTCGGAGGCCTCCTCCTACGAGTCCAACTACTCATACCCCTACGCCTCCCCGCAGACGTCGCCCTGGCAGTCTCCCTGCGTGTCCCCCAAGACCACCGACCCCGAGGACGGCTTCCCACGCGGGCTGGGCGCCTGCACATTGCTGGCCTCGCCTCGCCACTCACCATGTGCCTCTCCGCGGGCAAGCGTCACCGAGGAGAGCTGGCTGGGGGCGCGGGGCTCGCGCCCCTCCTCGCCATGCAACAAGCGCAAGTACAGCCTGCATGGCCGCCATGTATCCTGCTCACCGCAGCCCTCGCCCACGCCGTCCCCACAGGGCTCCCCGCGCGTCAGCGTCACCGATGACACCTGGCTGGGCGACTCCACGCAGTTCACCAGCTCGGCCATCGTGGCCGCCATCAACGCCCTGTCCACCGACGGTGCGCTCGATCTGGGCGACGGGGTGCCGGTCAAAGCGCGCAAGACGGCACTGGAGCACACGGCCACCATGGCGCTGAAGGTAGAGCCCCCTGGCGAAGACCCTGGCGCCCCACTGCCCGCTGCCTTCGCCCCTGAGGAATTCCCTGCCTTCCAGCACATCAGAAAGGGAGCTTTCTGCGACCAGTACCTCTCAGTGCCACAAGGCCCCTGCCCCTGGGTGAAGCCCAAGCTCCTGTCGCCAGTCTCCTACATGAGGTAAGTGTCTGCCTCGGCTGCTGACCAGAGCCAGTGCGGCCCTGCGGCCCTCAGGGCTGCCCGTGGCCTGCGTGGGGTTCAGTTTACCAGCCCTTCTCCAAGGGCACCTCCAGTGGGATTGAGCCCACAGCCTTTCCATGGACAGCTGTGCCTGCATCGCCACACCCGGCCTGGGGATCCCAGTCCGACTCATGGGCCCCTACAAGAACAGAGTAGACCTGCCCCTGGAAGGCCCCCCCACCCCCGGGATGGACTAGAACTGCCTCAGGACCCCTAGGGCAATGGAGTAGACCTGCCCCAGGGAGTTTCCCATGCTGCCATCTCTGGAAGGACCCTTGTATGAGTGGGAATGGCAGGGCAAGGTAACCCCCACAGAAGCAGATGGCCACATTGTTCCCAGGGAGCTGGTAGGTTTGATTCACAGACCTTGGGGGCTGGGGGGTGGCGCTTTCAAGCATCTTAACCCTGTGCTACCAGGGCCCCAGTGGTTGGATAACTCCCAGCCACCTACACCCTTTGCAACCCAGGCGGCCCGCCAAGGGGCCCCAGGGCTGCTGGGGTGGAGGGAAACATCCTCTCTCCCTGGGGTCCCAGTCAGTTGCCCCCAGCTCAGGAGGCCAATTTTGCTGTGCTAGGTCTGCAGGGCTGGTGGTCTTTGCTTTCACCTAAACAGTTGCCCGACAGGTGGGCCACTGATGGCCCGGCAGGGCTTCCCCAAGGCCATCTCCTGTGGGAGGAGGAAGCGCACCCAAGCCTGGCTGACATGCTGCCCTGTGAGGGCAGGACCCCCACACCCAGGCTGCCACGTATGGCCTGGGACCCCCACACTTAGGCTGCCACGTGAGGGCAGGGACCCCCATACCCAGGCTGCCACATGAGGGCTGGGGCCGCTCTTGCTGTGTCTCTGCTTCAGCCGACTTGGGATTGGAGGCGTCCTAGAGCAGGGTAGGGTGGGGGGCTCCTCTGAGCAGCTAGGCCCATCTCTGCCTGCCGAGGAGCCTGGGACACTACAGGACTGTGTGGGGAGGACGAGACTGGCCCCAGGCTGTCACTGAGCCCAGTGGCCATGCAGAAGGTAGGCCTTGGCTGCAGTGAGGGGGAGACTGGCCCTCAGGTGAGGGCACGCCCTCCCTTCCTACGGGTGCTCAGGAGAGGAGCCGTGCAGGTGGAGAGCCAGTATTACTGCTGCCTTTCTCAGACCCCAGCACCACCCCCCATGAGACCCCCCCCCAAGCACCCTGGGTGCAACCGCACCCAAAACCAGAAGCCCGAGACCATTTTTCAGGGGTGGGGGCAGTGGTGGGGGCTCAGACACTTGCTGGTTAAGCACAGGGACTGCTTTTCCTAGGTTGGAGACCTTGCACACCGCTGCCTGTGCCAAATCCCTGTGTTTTCCATGTCCCGTGACGGTGCCCGGGTTCCTGTCAGCAGGCAGGCGGGCAGGCAGGAAGAGGGTCACAGAGCTGGTGTGCCCCTCCATCCTGACCTGAGGCAGCCACCTGTTTCCTGGTGATCTCACCATGGGTCAGGGCAGCCTGGGGCCCAGTCAAACCCCAGCACCAAGCGACCGGACACCCTGCCCCGGCCTTCTGGTGGGCACGTGACACCGGGGGCCTGGAGATCCCTGCTGCTAATCACATGCATGGGACCCCTTTCCCGGGGGACAACTGCGCACTGTGCGGTGGTCTCAGGGGCCAGAGAAACTAGCTTCCCTCTCGGTGGCTTGTCCTCAATAATCCAGTGTCTGACAAGCCACCTGCCTGCCCCTCCCCCGCCGACCTTACAACCCTCAGCCCAGAGGAAGAAGACTGCGTGTCCACCGTGGCGTCCGGCGAGCGCTGTGACTCTGGGGAGGAAGGCAGGCCTTGTTCTAGGAGCCGATGGAGCCGGCACAGAAACTGTGAGGAGCCCCAGGGGAAAGACAGGCTTCAGACAGTCTGTTCTCATCCCCAGGGAGCCTGGCGGATCCGTGGTTAAGTGGAGCCTGATAACCGGGGGCTGAGTGTGAAGCCGCCCAGGGCCTCCTCAGGAGAAGTAGCAGGCCACCTGCTCCTGCCCAGGCCACCGCTGGGTGGCCCCACGGGGCAGCACTGCTCTGTCGCCCGGGGACAGAGCCTGAAGGGAGTTCACTGGTAGCCCCTGACAACGACCACAGCATCGGTGCAGACTGGGTCTCAGGCCGTGTCCCCACACGCCTCCTGTTTCCCAGAGGGTCCTTTCAAGAACGCAGCCCCTTCCTGCCAGCAGCCAGCAGCCAGCCCTTGCATCACTGCCCAGCACTCGAGCCCTCTGTATCCCCGGGCAGCACTGCCAGTTCAGTTAGCATAAGGAGCTGAGGGCGCTGGCACAGAGAAAGGCAGGCGACAACCAGCTGCAGGACTGCACACCTGGCCATGGCCAGTGCCTGTGCCCAATGACAGATGTCGGAGAGCTCTGCGGAAACCCCCCGGGACTGGGGTTGGGCCGGTGCTGACTTGGCCACCTGCCTCCGCCCCTGAGGGGTGCATGTCAGAGTGTCACAGGGATGGTGCCAGCGCTGGAGGTGTTAGTGCCTGGTGGCATCTCTGCCTTTGCTTTAAAGAGGCGAAGTGACCTTAGGAAAGGAAGTCGGGAAATTTTAGCGTGGGTCTGCGAGCAGCATCAGCAGCGCCTTAAGTTACATCCTTTTGCATGAAATGTGGCGTCTTCTGAGCCACGTGCTCCAAACCCAAATGGCAGACATTATTTCTCTTAGGTTTCGGACTAAGGTCTGTTAATATCAGTAGCCTTTATGCCAGGCGCCTTCTCTCCCAAGTCTGCTGTTCCACAAACTTCTTGAAGGCCCCTCGTGTGTGCTGTCAACGTCTAAAATCAGATGTCTGGACACCGATTTCTCCTGTGTTTGGGGACTTAACTGCTTCCGGGTGTCTTTCTGTAAAGGAGGAAGGAGGTGTGAGGATGGCCCTGAGGTCACCCTGTCTTACTGTCCAGCACGGCCCTGCTGACAGCCGGCGTCTGGATCTCTGCAGACATGGGAATCTGGCCAGCTCCTGGCCGAAGAGGATGCCTCTTGGGCCTTGGTGGACAGGTGTTCGGATCCCTGATGTCTGGACAAGAAGGCCACAGCCCATGGGGTCCTGATGGGCATGTGGGAGTCGGGCCCGTGGTTTCAGAACTGTGGATTCTGGGACTGGACATCAGACAGGTCAGCCCAGGACCCTGGAGCATCTCCCCCACCCTTCTGGAGGTAGTGAGCTTAGGAAATGGGACAATGGCCTAGAGTGCCACTTGTCTGCTATCTGGTGGCCACACCAATGGCCCTGAGTCTGTGGCATGCCTGCCCAGTGACCTCATGGCCCTGGCTGCTCAGCCTGCCCTGTGCGTGATGCTCCCTTGCTGTGAGTCTGCTCTGGTACTTAAGGGACCAGGTAGGCTAAACGTTCCCTCCTGGGATGTGGCCACCCCCTGTGGCTTGTCATCAGTGAAGTGGTCATACCGGAATAACCCCAGGGCCTTCTGGGAAGGCGAAGCCCTCTATGTCCCTGAAGGGGCCATCGGTGCAGTGGGGGGGGGGGGTTGGGGAGCTGGGGCTCTTACTTCTAGACCTCTTCTAGCGAGGCAGGAACAGGGGCACCCTCAGTCCTTTCTGCATATCCGCTCCTCCATGGAGCCCTGAGACAGTGCCCGGCAGTTCCAGCCTCCTGGGGTCTAGATGGAGGCTCTGATCAGTCTACACTGTGTGGAGGGTGCTTGGTTGGCCTGGGGAGAGACATGTCTTGGTTCTGACACATTCTTGCTGGTTGTTGAGAGACCATCAACTGCCCGTAGCTGAGAACAGGACACCCTAAGCCCCCCACCCATGCTCTCTCTAACCCTGTGTTTGAGAGTTCACACTGAGTGTACCCCATGCTTTGCTGCACCCAGGTCCCCGAGAGTGCAAACGCCCTCCCTGAGCATGATTCCCGCGTCCCGTCCTGGCTGCACGTGGATGAGGAGCTCTGCTTTGTCCAAACAGATCATGGCCGAGTGGCCGCAGCTTCCCCACTGCCCAGACTTCGTCTTCACCTGCCCTGGTGTGGTGGTGGGGTGACATGGCCCCCTGTGTGGGGGAGGGCATGGCCCCTGTGTGGTGGTGGGGCATGGCCCCTGTGTGTGGTGGGGCATAGCCCCTGTGTGTGGTGGGGCATGGTCCCTGTGTGGTGGTGGGGCATGGTCCCTGTGGGGGGGCATAGCCCCAGTGTGGTGGGGGGGCATGGCCCCTGTGTGGGTAATGGGTGCTTGGCTCCTGTGGGAGGGCATGGCCCCAGTGTGGTATGGTGGGCATGGCCCCTGTGTGTTGACGGAGTGAGGGGTGCCAAGGGTCTGTTTGGATGTAGAGAAGTATCTATGTGCTATCTGTTTTGGATGCAGACAGGGTGTGGGATGGGGCGTAGGACTGCCTGTGGCTCCCCTCCCCCAAGGTTTCTTGCCAGTACTTCTCATCTGTCTCTTGTCCATCTGTCCATCCACCCCTCCATCCATTCATCCATCCACCCATCTACCTAGCCATCTGTCCATCCGCACATCCATCCATCTACCCAACCACCCACCCATCCACCACCCATCCATCAATCCATACATACATCCACCCACCCATCCAGCTATCCATCCATTTATGCCTGTCATCCAGTTCATTCACTCATTGCTTATGTACTCATTCACCCACACTCTCATCCACTGATTCAACAATTCACTTCATTAATTAAGTCAGTTCAGTTTTTATTCAATTCATCTGTTTAGCCATCACTCAGCACTCACTCCAGGGTCAGTCGTGGCCTGTGAGGAGTTTGCTCCTTGATTTTTGTCCTCAGCACCACCTCCAGGAGAAGACAGCCTGCCTCCCCTGTCCGGAGGGGTGGACCAGGTGCCCAGGGACCAGGAGTAAGCAGCAGCCCTTCAGGGGCAGGGCCTTCACCAACAGGGTGAGCTTGAGCAGCCCCTGAGGACCTGAGACCAGATGGCTTTTCCTCTGGCGTCTGGTTTCGGGGCAGAGGCTCACCAGCTGCTTTCGACGTGTGGCCGGTCTCTGTTACTAGGAGGGCCTTGCTGAGGAGGGGACTTGTTATTCTCGTCCACAGAGCCAAGATGTCTCACTGTGAGCATCCCTGGGAAGAGCATTGGAGACCCCCTGGGTGGGCTGGGCAGGTGAGAACTCTTGGGGCGGGGGTGACTGGTCAGCATGAACACCATGTGTGAGGACACTGGTCAGACTGACCACAGCCTGCCGGGGTCCTGCAGCCCGGGCCCTGGCTGTGGGTGGCCCCACCTGCCCCTTTGCCGGCTCTGGGCCTCCGTCCCAGGAGCCTGACCTCTGCGGGTGGGGAAAACTTTCTCACGGCCAGAGCCTGGGGCCCTGTGAACTCGGAGAGCCCTCGGGAGTGCTCCCGGGTGGTCTGCGGCTTGGAGCATCGTGGACAGAGTGGTGTTGAGGCTGGGTGGGGCCCCCGACCTGTGTGGGCAGCCTTTCTCTTCATTAATTAGGAAAAAAGCCAGAGGAACCACCAGGAGCCCTGGCGACAGGCCCTGAGAGACGCGCTCCTCTCTGAAAATAACCCTTTTCCTTCCCGTGGGTCCTCCCTCTCCCCTCAGGAGGGTTCCTTCCACCAAGTCCCGTCCCCAGCTCCTGCGACTTTCCGCGCACAGGAATCCAGAAACCTCCCACCGCTCTCAGCTCACTGGTAGCTGCTCAGGGTGCTGAACTCTGGAAAACTCAGAATGAGAACATTTTTCCCGAACCATTAACACCCAGGAACCACTGCTTCGCAGGCCACGGGTTTGGCTAGCCGGTGTTCAGATGTGGAAGGCGAGCTGTGGAAGGTCGGCCTTCCCAAGAACTGGGGTTTAGAAGGTGCAGCCACTTTTATCTAAATGGTAGTGGGAAGGGCAAGATCAAATTTGAAACTTGAAACGGAAAAGCCTACACCACCCCTACCTTCTGTTTTCTCTGTTTATGCAAATCATATTCTTCACACAGGATCTTTTCCACGTTCAGATAAACACAGAGAGGGGAGTCACCCACCACCATGCTGCCTGCAGGACCCCTTACCATTTCAGTCCACGGCTTTCCGGACTGACTCTTGGGGGTTCATTTTGGTCTTGTACTAGGACAGTCCATTTTAAAGGTGCAGGGACTTAGTGAGGGCAGGCTGACCAGGACCCCACACCTGCCACCTGCTTCCGTGACCAGCAGGGCAGAGCCCTGACCACTCCAGAGCAAACGCAGATGTCATACAGGTTTAGAAAGCAGCATGCATTTCTGGCTGGAATGCCCCGAGATGTTCCAGCACCCGGGCTCTCCCAGTCCTCTCGCACGCCCTCCACCCCTGGCATCTCTGTTTCAAAGTCACTGTTGACCATCCGGTCTCAGGGAGATGGTCATTTTAAGGAGCACAGTCCTGGTGGGAGACACCCTTCACAGTGTGCGTCACGCTGTTATTTGGCTACAGGGTAACCAAGGTGGTTTCAGGGCCGGTTTTGTTCAAGATCTGAGCAGATCTCGGGGAAGTGGCCTTGCAGAGGCCTCCAGCCACTGACCAGTCCAGCTGGTCTTTCTTGGTGAGAGGATCCGAGACTCTAGTGCACAGATTTCCCCCATCCTGTCAGGGCCTGTCTGTCGTCACCCTGACTAAGCAGGTCAGATCAGTAATGGTCATGGGGCACCATCTGTGGCAGTGGTTCTCAACCTTCCTCATGCCATGACCCTTCCATACAGTTCCTCATGTTGTAATGACCCACAGCCATCAAATTATTTTTGTTTGCCACTTCAAAACTGTCATTTTGATACTGTTATGAATTGGGTGACTCCTATGAAAGGGTTGTTCGATCCCCAAAGGGGTCGCGGCCCACAAGCTGAGAACCACTGATCTATAGTTTCTGGTCTAAAGGTGAGACTGTGGTCCAGTGTAGACTGTCTTGTCGACTCCTGTTCTCCTTTGGGCCTTTGGTTTCTCTCTCTCGCTCTCTTGCTCTGGATAAGTAGAGAAAAGAGTTGTTTATTAGAGGGCTGCTCCCAAGGTGTTAGGCTCTCAGCCACGACTGACCAGGCTAGGGTGTAGAAATGGCTGTTTGGGGTGCAGTTGTTCACTGTGGTTGGTATGGTACAGTCCCCCAACTCACCAAGCTGTCCCACACACGAAGGCCCTGGTGCTTCGACCCCAGAGAACCAAGCCCATGGGGTTGAGGTGCTTAGTTGTGTCCAAGATATATCCTCCTTAACTGTGCCCGGATGTGCCTCACCTGTGCGAGGCACCAGCCCCTCCGTCATGGACTGTGAGACACTCGGCTTTGGTGACAGGATCAGTCTTCCATGGGCTGCTCCTCACGTTCCTGAGGCACGGCTGCTGGTAAGGACTGCCCAGGGACCGTGCTGTGGAGGGAGGCTCCTTGTCAGTTCAGCTGGGCGCCGTTCTCAGTGGCTTGGCTGTTGTGTGGCGATGGGTTCATCTCCCTTCTGTGATCTGATGTGGTCACCCTCCATTTTCATAAAACACAGATTTTTTTGCATAATGACCTGGTCTTTGAAACCGGGCCATGTTGATAAGGGGGGAGTGGGTGTGTAGGTGCATCCAGCCCAGCACACAGATGCACACAGACAGACCAGGCCGCGGCTCGTGTCTGTCTGGTGCTGGCGGCCATGCTTCCTGAGTCTCCGTGCCACAGGCACTCGGACTGGTCCCTGCTCCCTGTGCACTCCTCGGTGACACCCAGTTTGACTGTGCGTGAGAGCTTTGTCCTTTTAAAGGGCCTGAATTGTGGTTGTGCAGAAGCAGAGCCTTTGGGGTCAGCTGTGACAGCGTGGCCGTTCCCGTGTGCAGTCACGGTGACAGCCTCCTGGGGAGGTGGTCTCCTCTGCGGGAGGTGCTGTGATGAGAGGTGCTTCAAAGCCTTCACTCAGCATCCCTTTATCTCCCAACTCCATCTTCCCACAAGCCTTTTGAGGTGTCTTCCTACGTGGCTCCCGAGAACATGAGGGTGGGGGCTTTGGGACAGGGTGTGACCCGTCTCGCAATGGCTATCCCCAAGGCTGGCCTAGAAGTAACAGGGGTCCTCGTTTCCGCCTAGGGGGCAGCACACCTGCTGATGCTGACCTGTGCAGGTGGCCCTGTCCTCGTGCTTGTTCACAGCAGTCACGGTGGTCAGGTGCTCTCAGGGCTCTGTGCTCAGGCCTGGGGCTTCCGGCAGCAGGCGTGCGTGTGTGCACACACACACACACACACACACACACACACACACACACACACGCGCACACGCCCTGCGCTCTGTAAGGGCCAGCTGGGGCCCAGAGGACAAGGTCTGGAGTGAGAGTGCAGCTGCCTGGTCCCTTGCTTGAGGTGCAGACACTTGGCTATAGAGGGGTCCTAGGTTAATCTGGAGGTCAGTCTCTAGGGCCAGCAGACCTCGAGGGTGGTGGTGTCTTAGGATGGGCCTGAAGAGTGGCTTCTCTTATTTCTGAGCCTCAGGAGAGGCCTGATGGGCCTGCGGTGCTAGCATCCTGGATCAACCTCTGCCAGCTCCCCCAGGAGCCGGAAGTCGCTGTGGGGGGACTCAAAGCAGTGGGGACTGGCCAGGACTAACCTTCCACACGCTCTGTCCCTCCAGCCCGTCCCTACCCGCCCTCGACTGGCAGCTGCCGCCTCACTCCGGACCCTATGAGCTTCGCATCGAGGTACAGCCCAAGCCCCACCACAGGGCCCACTACGAGACTGAAGGAAGCAGGGGAGCTGTGAAGGCGTCAGCAGGAGGACACCCCGTTGTGCAGGTACCCAAGCCCCCGCAAAGTGGGTGCCAGTCGGCACTGTTGGGGCCACAGCTCCCTGTGCTGGGGCATGTGTGTACATGTGGTTATGTGTGTACACATACGTGTGCGGTGTGTGTGTGTAAGACCAGCCTCTGCCCCATATATGTTCATATGCGGGGGTACATGTATGTACATGTGTGTTTAGTGTGTATGTAGGATCAGCCTCTGACCCGAGTGAGCACACAGTGGGTCCCAGGCCTTGTCGGGGAGGAGGGAGCCCCAGGTGGGGCAGGGGCTTCACACACGGCAGTGGGTGGGGATGGGAGAGCCTGGCCCGCTCACAGGGGTGATCAGACAGGCTGACCACAGGCCGAGTGTTCCAGGTTGCTGTATGCCTGGCCCAGAGTGGACACAAGCTCTGGGCCTCCTGTGTGTAAGAGCAGAGCTGCCCCAGGGCACTTGAAGCAGGTGGCCAAACCCTCCGCCCCCAGCACCTCCAATCTGATGACTCGCACAGAGGCGCACCCCGCTCTGCGGTCACCCCGCTCTGCAACTCACAGGAGCCGAGTGGCTGTCCCGTTTGGCATTATTGGCTGCGCTGAGGCCTGGGTGATCCCTCACTTGCGCAGCTCTGGCCTCAGCTGCCAGAGGGACCACCCGGCCACAAGGGTGCCCTGGCCATCAGGGAATCCATTCCCTAATGGTGGCGACGGGACGGGGTGGGGTGGAGGGCTCTGACCACATGTCATGGGTACTCCCTCTCTCCGGCAACCCCGCCCCCCCAGGCAGATGCCCCCCTGGACCTGGGCCTGCACATTTTCTAGTGTTAAGCGTCTCCTGGGAGAGGGGACATCCGAGACAGAAAACCCAACCCTGAAATAAAAGCATGTCCCTTCTGAGGCCTCTCTGGGGACAAACCATGGAGACGCAAATGTGAAGGGTCAGCAGCCCCAAGGAGACGTGTGTCCAGGTCACACTTAACTTCCTCTCCCAGGACTTCTGCCGGGAGAGCGAGGCCTCCTGGGTCCGGCCCGTGAGTCCGGGGGAGGATAGTGGGGGTCAGGGCCAGCCGGCCTCTGCACAGTGAAGTCTCTGCCACAACCCCCAGGACCACCTTGGGGTGCCAGCCCACCAGCCCCTATTGACCCGCTGTCCAGGCCGTGTGGTCCATTGCCCTGGCCAGGGCCCCTGAGCAAGGATGATGGCTCTGTGGGACTGCCTGGTCATTGGGGGTGAGTTGGGTCAAGTGCCGGGCGTAGATGTAGATTGCATCTGCAACACCCCCAAACCGGTGCCCTGCCATCAACAAGAAAGCAGGCCCGGTGCCTGCCCTTCATTCAGCTCAGTAGGCAAAGGAAAAGGCTGCTGCAGGCAGGGGACAAGCCCCAGGGACAAAGGCTGCTCGCCAAGCACCAATCAGAGGCCGGAGGTGGCCAGGGAGGCCGAGAGCAAAGCACTTGAGCAGCATCTGTCCCTGCGGTGGAGGTGGCATTTGCTGCCGTGCCCTCAAGGGCAATTAGTGCCTACGAGATGGGCTGCCTGGAACAGGGCTGTGGAGGGCGGTCCCCTCCCCCACCCCCAGGGAAAGGTCAGCAGCGCCCCTGTGGGGCGGCGGTAGCGGAGGTGTTGACCTCCCTGTTGTGTGGTTTCTCTGAGTGCAGCAGAGCAGACGCTGGCCCAGGCCATCCCTCGTGGGGGCTTAATTGGGGTGCTTGTTGCCGAGAGGAAACTGAGGCACGGTGAAGGTAGGTGCTCTTGTCAGGTGGGTCGTCCCTGCGCCCCAGAGCCCCAGAGGTGGGCCGAGCCCAGGGTTGCAGCCTTGATGTATTCTGTGAGCTTCCTGCCCACAAGCGCATCTCCCGCAGCACCCTGCTCCATGTGGGCCCCGGGGCCTCCCTGCTGCTGTGGGAAAGTATGAGAACAGCCAGGCCTTTCTTCTTGGTTGTTAGTCTGGAAGCGCCACAGCCCCGGCCACCAGTGACCTGGCTGGGTGACATGAGTGGCGGCGTCCATTAGACAGGACACACAGGCCTCTGAGCACGGCAGACAGACAGACTGGCCGGGCAGGTGGTGGTGGGCTGGCTGAGACTTTGCTTTGCCCTGCAGGGTCTCCTGGGGCCCTCGTCAGCTGTGCTGTTGCTGTGTCTCCTCCGTCCAGGGACCCTGGACCCTGGGCACTGGGCACCGGGCAGTCGACCCTGCTCCCCCAGCGCAGAATGGGAGCCACCCGGGCGTGGAGGCGCCTGAAGCCATTCTTTAATTCTGCGTCGACACCTGAGCACTGTGTCCCCGACAGGGATCTCAAATCAGTGTGTGTGCTGCTGGAGGCTGGTGGCTGGGGGTGCGTCTGTGTCTGAAACAGAATGGATGTCACCCCACCCCTCTGCGCGCGCACACAGGATGTACATGTCAGGAGACAGTGGTGCGGGCCGGGCGGGGCAACGGGTGAGCCCCTCTCTGGGAGACTGTCCTCAGTCACAGCTTCTCCCTGCTCTCAGGTGGGTGGTGAGCAACTCAACATAGGCTGGGGGGCGGCTTCCTTTCTCAGTGGGTGGACCACAGCTGGGGTAAAAATAGAATCTGCACATAAGCAAGAAACAAATGAAATAGAGGATGCTCTCAGAAGTTGTCAAAACTCAGTAACCACAGGTCTCATTCTGTGCCATGACCTCAGCCCGGCAGCCCGGCTTCTCTTCGGAAGTGGCCGCCTTTTGAAGACACAGGGTGGGCCCCCTGGCTGCCATGCTGGGGATGGTCTGCCCCCAAGGCTGAGGTATGGTCAGCAGTCAGGGTCAGCCTCACTTCTATACCCTTCCAAGTGGCCGTTACGCTCTGTGGGCCTGAGGCCACCCTGTGGCAGGGCCCGTGTCACCCTTCACAGAGCATCTAGTCCCGTGCCCTGAGCCAGGCCTGTAGCCAGTGATCATGGGTCAGAGCAGGCTGGGCCACCCTCAGGGCCCTGCTGTGGCAGGAGTGCGGCAGGGGGTGCAGGCTCCCCCTGCGACATCGGCACCACGCCCTCGCGCTCGCGGCTCTCGCCCTTTTCTCTTTAATTGTGATTCGTTTGTGCCACGTGGTTGCCAACATACAGGGCAGGGTTCACAGGATGGACACAGCAGCCTGCACCCCTCCAGGTGCTGTGGACCACCCAGCCTTGCCTCACGGACGTGGACTCCAGACTCCCAGGCAGCAGCTGGTCTCTCCGACTGTTGACCGTGATTGGGTGAAAGTTTGGTGACCAAACTTGCTCTCCATTTCACAGCTCGCACACCTCTGGTTTCCTGCGTTGACAGTCCCCACAGCGTCACAGCCCTCTCCCCACCGCCTCCAGGGCTGCCTGCCCCTGAGTCTTGTTTGGGGGCAGATTGTTCTGGGGAGCACACCGCTTGAGGTCTGTTTATTGCTGGGCTCCGTTTCAGGCTGGGTGGGTGTCTAAGTGGTCTTGGGTGTTCCACCCCTCTCTAGTCGACAAGCAAGAGGCTTTTTTTTATGACTTTGAGTATTGCTCCCCATTTTCCTCCCACCACCCAAGGCGTCCTACAGGACCCCTGTAGGAGTTGTCGGCACCGGCAGCCCCTCTGGTTCTGGTCTCAGAGGTGAAGAGGCTGAGGTGCACATAATTCCTTCAAATCTTTTCTTTTCTTCACGTGCCTTTGCTCAGAAGGAGGACAGACCAGTAGTTGCTCCTCAAAGGGTCGTCCGGCAGCTTTCTGGGTGCCAGTTGCTGCTCGCTGAAGGCACAAGCTGTCTTTGTGGGGCAAAGTCACACCCTCGCCCTCAATGTCCCTGTGTCCATGGGGTCAGACCCACGACTTGTGTCCTCAGGTGTTCGATTAAGACTCTTTTCAGAGCTGCCTCCTCTGTGTCCCTCAACATCCTGGGTGCTTGTAGCCCACGCAGGTATGCCCTGCACTCCTGCACACATTCCTGTGGCTGTCATGAGCTACCCAGCGCATGCGTGTCTGCTTGTGTAGCCCATGAGAGGTAACACTGGTCATTGCAGGGTTGCGTCCCCACTGAGAGGTAACACCAGTGCTGCAGGGTTGCGTCCGGAGCAGTGTGTGTGCTTGCTGCTCACTCCCTTCATACACATCCCGCATCTTCCTTGGCCTTGGCCATGTTGTGCTGCTGTCATGTGCATTGCTGTTCCTGTCACTCCATCACCACCCATCTCCCCTCTAGTAAGTGGTCCCCCTTCCAAGGGAGGAAGGGGCTCCCCCGTAGCCCTCCAGGGATGCTTCTCTCTGTGTGGACCTTTCCTTGGCTCCCAACAGCAGGGGTCCCCTGCAGTGTCTTTTTTGTGTGGATGAGCAGAGTGTCCCCAGGTGCAGCCACAGCATGAAGGGGCTCTCCAACTCGCCGTGAACCTCGAATACCTGTCTGTGTACCCCACTGTGTGTGCGTCGGCAGTTGTCTGTCCATGCAGCCGCGGCGATTGCTGGGTCTGTTCCATCTTTCTGCTGCTGTGAGTAGCTGCGTGTGCACCTGCCCTACCCGTGGCTCGCCTTTCTCTAGGATGCGCGCCCAGTCCTGGGGATGCCGGATCCCATGATCTTTCTCTGTATTTCCGATTTTTCAAGGAAGCGACCTGCGGTCTCCCGCAGAGGCTGTGTGACCTGACCACCATCCCAGCCACCTAGCCTCTCCACACCCTCCCCACCATTTGTCTTCTGCTTTGCCTTAAACGTGGCTGTTCCTGCGGCCCGAGATGGTGTGCACAGTCATTTGGATTTGCATCTCAAAGCGGTGAAGGAAATGGCCCTGGTAGCCCTGCAGATTTGGTGTTGGGCTGCAAACTGCAAGGTTGGTGGTTCAAACTCACAGCCGAACCTTGGAAGAAAGAGCACCTGTTTCTTTGTGACAAGGTGTGCAGGCCCAGAAGCCCCCCAGGGAAGTTCTGCTCAGCACTTGTGTCTCGACCACCTCGGTGGCAATGGGCTGGGTTGAGGGAAGGCTTCGCCAGGTGTTTCGGCCACCCGACCGTCTCTTTTGATGAAGCGTCTGTTCACATCCTCCGTCTAGTTTTGACTGGACTGTTCGTCTAGCTCTTGTTGAGGCATTGGCATTCTCTATCTATAAGTGTAAGAGTCCCTTATCAGGTATGTCGTTTCAGACCGTTCTCCCGTGTGTATGTAGGGTCTTGTGTTGCCCTCTGGAAAGGTCTTTTGATGTGTAGAGGCGTGTGCCCGTGTAATGTTAGCAGGTCCTGGTCATCTATTTTATCTTCTGCTGTTGTGTACTTTGAGCCCCCTAAGTCTGCCTCCATTGTTTCCCTGATGATCTTTAATGCCCTGGGATTTTACGTTTAGATCTTTGCTCCATCTTGAGCTCGTGTTTATGCATGTGAGGTAGGGACCCTTTCCCTTTGTCTGCAAGTAGATATCCAGCTTTGCCAGCATCGTTTATTAAAAGACTTTCCTGCCCTCAATTAATGAGTGCTGGGTCTTTGTTGAAGATCAGCTGTCCATAGGGGAGTGGATTTATGACTGGACTCTCAGTTCTGTCCTTGGTCTGTGTCTGCTATTGTATGGTCCCAGACATGACTGTGTAGTGGTTCTGAGCTCTGGAAGTCGCTTTTTCTCTGCGGTCTTTTGTCTCCCTGTGAAGTTGCTGAATGGCTTGTCCATCTCTTTGAGGGACGTGCAGCTAGTTCACAGGCTGCGATGTCTTCTTGCCCGTGTGGGTGGACGTGCGGTTGACAGTAGCCCAAGAACAGACTGCTGTCTTGCTGCCCTAACCTGACCCCTCCTGCCTAGCCAAACAGCATCAGTGGGGACCCCAGGCCTAGACAGAGGGGGTGTGCAGGTTTGGGCATCTTGGAAACAGGCTTTCCCACCAGCTGCCCGAATCCTAGGCCACCTCTCAGGCCCTGGCCCCACACCCTCATCCCGCCGCTGGAATAAGAATGCCTGCTGCATAAAATTAACCCCCTCTGGCCTCAAGAAGACAGCCCATGCGGGTTCCTCAGATCTTGAGAATGAGGCTGGGGGCAGGGGGGTGTTGGCTGGCTGTGTCAGGGCTGTTGGCAGGAGGTAAAGATGCAGGTTCCTCTTCCCCAAGCCCTTTCCTCCAGTCCCCGGCCCCAGGACCCGGCCCCCACTGGTCCCCACTTGCCCCCTGACGGAGCAGGGAGGACACTGTCTCCTGAAGGGCTCCCATCAGGCTCGTGTGACGTATTCCGTCCACACTGGGAGACTTGCACCCCTGCCAGCCTTCGCTGGAGCTACAGGGAGTGGAATAAACGCAGAGAGATTTCTGAGCCAATTCAATGATTGATCATGAGAGCCTTTGACCAGGTCTGAATCTATTATAAGATCTAATGATTGGGGGAATGGAATAGGGTGGGAGCAGCCAGTAGGAATAAAGAAAACACCCGGGAGAGTTCCTGGGAAATGCTGGTCTACCCCCACGGATGATGGCTCAGTAACTCTCCTCCCTTTCAGCTATTGAGACAGACAGGCTGTTGACCCCAAAGCCAGTGGTTGAAGCCCACCAGACGCTCCGAAGGAGAAAGCCGAGGTTGTGTGCATATCCATGAAGAGCAGGGTCTAAGGGCTGGTAGACGGGTCTGCGGCCCGGTCGACTCTGTGGCAGTGGGTTTGGGGCTGGTCCTCCCATGCATCTGGTCTTTGTTCTTAATCTTCCATGGAAGGAGCTGTAGGGCATTTTTCACAGCGAGGAATTTCCACAAGTAAGAACCCTGGAAGGGGGTGGAGTGTCGGGACCACAGGATGGAGGTTAGTGGAGACTGGTTGCTGACCACAAGATCGGCACTTCAAACCCACCAGCCGCCCGAGGGAGAAAGCCGAGGCAGTCTGCTCCATGGGGTCCCAGTCTCTGAAGCCCTGTGGGCCAGTTCTTCTCTTCAGAAGGGACTTGAGGGCGGTGGGTTAGGTCCCTGGGGTTGGTGGTACGCTCAATTAACCCAGTGTGGGAAAATGACTTTAACAGTGGTCAAGCTCGTTGGAGGGCTCTCTCACCCCCAGTGAGGTCCCTCTGGGATTGGGTGAGGAAGCAGACCTGACCTGGGCCTTACTTGCATAATTCCCCTTTCAGTGGGCTCTGCTCCAGGCAGGGGTGGGGTGGGGGGGTGAGGGGCTGCGAACCCACAAGTGCTGGTTGAAGTACCCTAGCTTTGAACCAACACAGGGTCCCTTGTTGGTGGCACACATCTGCTGATGGACATGCCTACTGGCCCGCCTGCCTGCCGGGGTAGTTAGGTTGAATGCATTTGCCCCCGGCCCCCATCCCAGCCTGGTGGAGGGAAGTGCTGAGGTCAGCACAAGAGCTGAGCCAAGCCTACAGGCCCGCGTGGATGGAGCCCAGCCGTGTTTGGTTCAGGCTGTAGTGAGGGCAGGCCGTTGTGGTGACAGGTGGATTTATGGCTAATGTTCTGACAGACACTGTGACTCGCCAGAGGCGGGAAGCTCGGGCGCTGGAGCACGGCTGTATTAAAATTGCTTTCCTTATGACTCGAGCCTCGTGCTTTAAATAATAGATGTTTACCTCCCAGGTGAAGCCTGAAATGCTCTCCTTTTCCCTGAAACAGCATGTTTCTAGACCCAGGACCCCCTGCCCTTGGCGCTCCAGCACAATGGGGACTACCTCCGACCGGCCTGGGGGCTCAAGTTGTCACCTGGAATCACCCCATAGCCTGTGAGAGGTGGCCCCACCGAGGGGTTGGGTTTGGGCTGAAGACCCCTGATGTGCCTGGCATTAGTCAGTCCCTCAGTCCCTTGCCAGGGGGTTCTGCAGACCACAGGAACATGGTTGGAGCCAGAGAAATTAGCAAGCCCCAGGCCGAGGTAGAAGCTCACGCTCGGAGCAGCTGCTTGGTGGTCATCTGTGACTCACAGCTGTCCAGTAGGCGGTGAGTGGACGGAGCAGGAGACCACAGGACAGCCTCTGAGAGTCCTGGCATCAGCACAGACATCCCCCATTCACAGACTTGCCCCCAGTGGCTGGTCTGGGTGAAACTCGGTCTCCTTTGCAGCAAAGGACTTGCTGGTCCGCGATGCATGCATGGACGTGCTATGCCCGGGGGACCCTGTCACGGGCAGGGCAGGAGGGCATCTAAGGCCCCTGCCCTCACAGCATTGCAGAAGCCCTATGTGCAAGTGTGACTAAGCCAGGAGCTACCTCCAAACTGGATGTCATTCTAGAATGCAGTGTGTGGGTGTGGACATAAGCCTGAGTGTGTGAAGGTGTGTGATGGGCGAGTGTGTGAGAATGTGCTTATATAAGTAAAGAGCATGTGTGAATGTGTGAGTGTACAAGGACTTCCAAAAGCCTGGGGAAATTCCCTGGAATTCTTCCCGC